GTGGCACGGGCATGAATAGCCAGTAAGTGGTGGCCCTTTTGAGCCATTACCAGTATCAAGAGCTGATACTGGAGATCTGTGGAGGTGCGACTGCACCCTGCATGACGGGAGATGTCTCTCCAATAAATATATACATTTCTTTCTTTATATATGCACCGTATTCCCTTGTGTCACCCATCGCCAGGCGCACAACACATCCCTAACAACATCCCTCCGCCCATGTATAAGGTCCTTCCAATCTAACCTTCCCAAGAAACTCCTTAATCCATCAAAATCAGCTTTTCGGAAATCTACCATCTTGACAGAGTTTTCTCTTACACATTCTGCATTAAATCTAATCTCCTTGTGAACACTGTTCCTTAATCCGTTCCCTATTTCGATTTTATTTATTTGTTTTTCTTGCTGTTTATATATTTACTTATTCATTTATATTCAAGAAGATATATTGGGTTGTTTGAGTACATAACACTGGTGTTCTTATGCAGGCGAGGAGTCACAATAACGTGGCTGAAGTATGTTGACCAGACCACACACTAGAAGGTGAAGGGACGACGACGTTTCGGTCCGTCCTGTACCATTCTCAAGTCGATTCCGAATCGACTTGAGAATGGTCCAGGACGGACCAAAACGTCGTCGTCCCTTCTGTCGGAAATTCCGACACCATTTAATATCATACAGATAATAGCTGCTGTATTACCAACAAGTTAACCATAGAAAACGTAACTTGTAGTGGAATTACCATCTAAAGAAAACGGGATATCATCACCACATACCATTATAATTCACCAGCTATTCTGCTGGGAATTATTCTTAAATACATTAGTCTTTGGACTTTACCATCATAAAACATCTTATATAAATTAACTTAATTATCAATATTAAAGTAGAGTAAATGTGACCCTTCTATCACTTTCTGAAATCTGGACAAAGTAGGCCAGGCGTCAGAGTGAGGAAGGAGGGCAGCCATTGTTGTTATATGAGACCAGAGGCTCACACGGGAGCAAATTCGGCTCCTGTTAAATTTACTTGGACGTAGTGTTATGGAACCCAAAGATGTACCATTGTCAACACGCTGTCTACAAATACAAGTTAAGTGTCTATCCGAAACCCGTTTATCATTCATTTATGGCCATTAATGTCAGGATATAGGGTGACCCGGTTAGATCGCGAAATCGCCTCAAACTAAAGGTAATTAAGCCAGGTCTTTAATGTTCCATGTACTGTATAGTGTTTTCTCTGATATACTTGTCATATATAGGATTCTGGCTTCACAGCTAGCGCACTTTTGACAGGTCAAGACGAGGATGCAAGATTATGTGCACCAGTTACTGGGTGATAGAAGCTACCTCAAAGAGGATAATTTGGTGTCTACACTCTAGTTATACCTGGTGGACTAACCTGCTGTACTATAAGAGAAGGAACCTCATCAATGTATGTAGCTATTACTGTAATTTGATTGGCTGCATATGTGTAATATAAACCCCCCCTAATGTGTAGAGGATCGATTTGTGAGATTCTGAGATTATTGCAGAAATACAGTCCACTTAACATTATACAAATTGCTATCGAAGTATACAAATTAACGTAAATATAAACTCATATAAATTAAATAAATATAAATCTCACAGGTCGGTTCCCACACCTTCACCTCCTAGTGTGTGGTCTGGTCATCAGGTTTAAGAATAATAGTTAGTTAATGCTTGTCTAAAATGTTATTTTCCCGTGTTGGCTCCTTACTGTGTTGTTTAAGGAAAGTCATCAACTAATTCTATCAAAAATTCTGCTTCTCATTTCGAAGTTAACTCGATTAAAATTAAAGTCACTCATGAAACAAACGCTGTTTGTCCTAGATGATCTAGATATTTCATCCCATACATGCTTTGCTTCAATTCTGTCAGAGTTTGGTGGCCTGTACATAACTCCTATTATTATATTAGTTTTACTGTTTTCATTTAATACTAGCCAAATAGTTCCTGTGTGTGTCTCATTTCTGATCCCTTCTTTGACACTACTTTTAACAGAGAGAGAGAGAAGATTAAGCCACCCAAAAGGTGGCTTGGGCATGAATAGCCCATAAGTGGTGGCCCTTTTGAGCCATTACCAGTATCAATAGATGATACTGGAGATCTGTGGAGGTGCGACTGCACCCTGCGTGACGGGAGATGTCTCCCGTCTACTTTTAACATTTCCAGATATATATATTGCTATTTCACCGCTTCCCCCTGTCGTCTAATCTGAGGATCCATGTGAAGTAATTTTAATCCTTTAATTTGATATTCAGCTCCCTGTTTTCTACATTCATTAACGTTTAGATTGCTGAATAATATCTAGTGTTTCTGTGCACTCAAGACTAAGTCGTCAATTTTGTTTCAAAGACGCCTACTCATTTGTGCAGTACACCATGAGGGTAATGGGGCACACTAGTGAACACTGTGCATCTATATCCGCCAACAAGATAATATTATTAAAACAAGACTAAACCCAGTGAGCTAAAACAGAAGCGGAAGAGAAACGGGGAGAAAAAGGAGGAAACCCCACCTCCATTTAAAACTTTGACCCAAATATCACAGTAACAAGGTTATCGCGAATAACCGAACCCAATTACGGGCTCACTGTAGCCAGTACTCCATGGATATTTCGTTCTGAGTAACTAAATCTAAAACATTAAAAACAACGGCATCTGGACCGCTAGTGCTCAGTATTCGGAAGACAGAGTTAGTCGCAGTAACTAATCATGCGAGAATCTGTCTGAAACAAAGATGTAAGTAAAGAGTTCCTGGACGGCGGAGTCACATGGCCTTGGGAGACAGAAAAAGCTGTTTCCTCGACCATATTACCACCCATATAGACGACACTTATTACTCTCATTACGGGCTCACTATAGCCCGTGCTACATGGAAATTTTGTTTAGAGTTCCTGAATCTAAAACAACAACCACCTTGGGGGGTGTTGTTAAATTGAGGACTATCTCCACTCCAGTTTATATATTTTTACCTAATTGTTTATTTGTTAATACATGCTTTTACTGGATTATTATTCCCAAATCCATTCTCATACCTCAATCATTTAACAATTTAAACCCAAATAAACCCCACCAGCCACAGCTTAGAAACGAATCAACCCAGCCATAGATAAATGAACCCCCATCCCGAGTTTGCATACCATTCTTACCATAAATGGGTTCCCAGTTATCAATAATTGATATTGAATTTGATTTTCAATATTTTACCAGTTGACAATTTAATCCAACTGCCCTAGATTAATTCTCAACTCCCCTTCTTGGAAGAATACCTCACATGATCGGGATCCCTCCCTGTATTTCTGTATTAGTGCCTCATTCCTATCTCCTACTATATTTACCCCAATACTATTACAAATAACCGGTTTGTTACCAACCACTAATATTAACAATATCCCAAATACCAGCTCCCGGATAGCAAGCTATTAAACTGTTTGCCCCATTTCTAGGACCAAAAAGTTCTGTTTAAATTCTTCAACCTGAGAATCTCAACAACCCAAATTCGCTTATTTATTTATATACAAGACGGTACATTTGGTTTATGAGAGAACATTGATGTTATTACATTCTTGTAGTTCAAGTTCAAGTATGTTTATTGAGATGAACAGACCACACACTAGAATGTGAAGGGACGACGACGTTTCGTTTTTTTTCTCCTTCTCTTTCGGTGGTTACCAATAGGCCCTCTGCAGTTCCTACTACTAGCCCCTCTACTACACTTTACTTTGCTCCTCATCTCTCGTACCTATTTATTGCCTGTCTCTACTTCCTCATCACGAAAGTCCCGACACACAGACACGGGAGACATCTCCCGTCACGCAGGGTGCAGTCGCACCTCCACAGATCTCCAGTATCAGCTCTTGATACTGGTAATGGCTCAAAAGGGCCACCACTTACGGGCTATTCATGCCCGTGCCACCTCTTGGGTGGCTTAATCTTCATCAATCATCAATCTTCCTCATCACAATCGACTGGAGAATGGTCCAGGACGGACCGAAACGTCGTCGTCCCTTCACATTCTAGGGTGTGGTCTGTTCATCATACTTTAGCCACGTTATTGTGACTCATCGCCTGCATGTTTATTGAGACAAGAAAGAACTACATCTCAAAGGGATAGAGTAGCTTGGGCTATTTCTACCCCCTAACATTCTTGTAAAGCCACTAACAAGCATAGCGTTTCAGGCAGGTCAACTTACTTTTTTATTTCATGTCATTGCCCACTTAGAGACTGAGTAATCTGTTCTTCACAGCTATCATGTAAAATATAATTTACAAACCTCTCACAGCTAAATATAATTAGTTTTGTAGCTACATTTACAAATGAAAAACTAGAGCGCGTGAAATGACTACAATCAAGTCAATTACAATACAATACAATACAATTCCTTCTAATATTCTTAATACGGGTCCAACAAACATGGTCAAAACACGGTTTAATTAAATGATACTTAGTAATTACTCTTATAGTCTGACACAGCTCAAAATCACATTTAAATGCTTGAATTTACTGAAGTTTTGCACTTATATCTAAGGACTCGACACCAATAAGGGCTAAATAATACTGTGTTGCAGTTAGTCCTTCTTATCACAGAAAGTGGTTAAAGTAAAACGTTTTCTTTGAATAAAGTATATTTTGCTTGATTTATGTCAATAAAGCTACGTGTCAAGGTTAATATGCACTTGATTATGTAGAATATATATATATTGATCAGAGAATAATAATTGGCATTCAACAAATGCATATAAACTCCAAGAATAATGAAAATATTGTCCGGTTTGGCAGAAGGCACAAGTGACCTGCACTATTTACATCATGTATTCTTACGCTTTTTCAGAACCATGTACCCCAAATCCATTATATAAAGTGCATATAACGCTGCAACAGCAAGAAAAAAAATTGACTTGTAGTAGTGTGTGGAAAGCGAAGTAGGAAATTGTGTGTTTTGGGGGAGGGAAGCTGGGAACTAGTTTGGCGAGCGCGGATTATGAGGCAGTGTGCTGTGGCCCGAGTGTCTGTGGCGCGTCTTGTTGTTTGACATCCAGAATTTCGTGAATTTTTGACCTTTCTAGTGATTCATTGTTTGATTTAGCAAGTGTCGCCATAAGTGCTGTCACGAAAATGTCTAGTATTTGGTTATTACCCCCCTAACGTCGCCAGAACCAGCCTTTTGAGGTAAGTTATGAGTTTCACCTCTGTTCTTTCTCCAACTGAAGTTTCTTTTCGTAGCTGTTTTCAAAATAGAGTTGAAAATCTGGCGTGGAAAACGCCCCGGAATGGCCCGGGTGTCACGCACGGTCATGCCAAGCCATCTCCTCTAGGGCCATTATAGTCAGCTGATTGTCATGTGAGCGGCTGTAAAGTTAATTTTTGAATGTTGTGAGGCCTGGGAGGGCGGCCGTACACTTGGCCATTGTACCCTGGCGGCGACACCCGCAACCTGGACCCGCACCCCCACACCCTTACACCTCTCTGGCTGCCTCTCTCACCCTTCTCCTCCCCTCCCGCGCCTCCCGCCCCGTCTCCTGCTCACCCTCGACCTCCTGCACCACGCCCGCCGCCGGGAAAGGCGGCAGGAAAGGGTGAAATATAGGGTGGTGTGGAGCGGGGAGGTGGTTGAGGGCCGGCGGGATAGATGGCGCCGCCTTCGTCCCCGCCAGAAAATGGAGTCATTGACATGATCGTGGCTGTAGGGGCCCTCCTCACAACTTTCTACCTTCATTTCCAATAAATAAACCATCCCACGGTCAAACCCACGTTATGTAGGGCCAAATTTTTGTGTTTTATTTCTTAAACCTGAGGAGAAAGTGGCTTAAAAGGAGTCGAAGACGCAAGAATAACGGTACTGTATACTGGCTTGTGGATCAGCTGATCGAGGAAGATTTTGATTTATGAATACAGTGTGTAGTGTGAGGGAGTGTGTGAGGTGCAGGCGAGGCATGTGGCGGCGCCCCTGAGGCCAGGTGTGGTCTGCTCTGGGCTCGGCTGGACACCCTCACTAGGCACTCCCAACTCCATCGTTGCTAAATAGGTTTTCATGGATCTGTAAACAAATTTTGCCTTTTTTTTTGTTGGGGAGGGGGGCATTTGTTGTATGCATAAGGTTTTCATTAATGATTAACTTTGATGGTCTTCAGGCAATCCTTGGTGTTGGCTTTGTGGGTGGCTTATGTCTGATTTCTCCCCTTGCTTCCTACACATGCTGGAGCTCACTTCATTTGTATCTTCTTAAATATACCTATTTTTATGTGTTTTTGTTAATTGTTTGGTCTTCCATATACTGTACATGTATTTACTGTATGTGCATTCTTCTGCTTCAGGTACAGTACTTTATTTTATGTTTCCCCTGCTAAAAATTAATCAATATTTCCTCAGATCAAGGATTCAGATTAAGGATTGCATGCTAATGTACAATTAGTTTCCATTTGGTAATGATGTCTTCTTTTGGTATCATATAAAGTACAAGTATATTGGGTATAATTTCATATAGTTGAGTAATATATATCCCATTTGTCAGGGAAATATTAAAGGTTAACACACATTCTGCATGCTGGTTGTGGGTGGAATTATTTAGCGGATGAGATAGGTCATGTCCTGCTCGATGGATAGTTTGCATGCTGTAGAAACTTCTTGATGTGATTGGGCTTTAGGTGGATGCCACACACTGGAACTGTTTTTAATAGGTAAGTATTATAACAGTGTACATTAGGAATGTTTGAAGCATATTTGCCAGTGGGTATGAAGAAAGATTAGGGTACTGTGTGTCATGAAATAAACAGTGTTAAATAATATATGTAACAATATAATGAATGCAAAGAGCTGGTCAACAAAATCACCATATCCTGTTATGGCAAGAGTGGCATTTGCTTCAATATTGCTAAATGTATTAAAGTATTATCACTTTGGAAAAAGAGTTAAAAGTGCACTTTGAAAAATAAAGTTGCTGATGATGCCACTAGCAAGTGTCCACTTTATCCTACCATTTAGTAGGATAACTGATTTGCTAATTGAATACAGGCTTGTGGGGTGTTGAACTATTTGGGTATGGGTAAACATAGCAAAAATATAACCTAAATTACCTTTTGCATTTGGCTTGAAGCCAGCACAAAATATCACTTATGCTTGAAACTGTGTACAATGTTTAGTAATGCTTCATGCACACTGCCAGCTGTCAAGCTCTTTTAAACTTTAGAATTGGATAGAGGGAATGATCAGCGGAAAGCGAAAAAGAATTTGAGATGGAGGATAAGAATTTGGGATGGGACGGGAAGAAGGAATGGTGTCCAACCACTTGGATGGTCGAGAATTGAACGCCGACCAGCACGAAGCGATACCGTCGCTCTACAGTTCAGCCCAGTTGCATTGGGAATTGAAATATTCTATTGGAAATTGCTTAAATATCTAATGATCCAATGCAAATCATACCCATCACTATACTTGCTGGTAGTGCTTTGGCTCTTCAGTAAATGAAACAAAAGTTGCAGTGGACTGATGATGGTTTGTCTACCTACCTTGTGCCTACTTTGTAATGATTCTGAGAATCGGTGTTCCATGGCCAAGTCTTTGACTCCTGGTTAGTGGTCTGGTCAACCAGGCTGTTGAACTCTGTTGCTTGCAATCTTGATGTATACTGTACTGTATACCTACCCTATGTATGTGTATGTACTGTATCACAACCCTATTGATCAGTTATCCTTTGGAAATTGGCAAGTTATGCCCCATATTTTTAGAAGACAGTTGAAAATTCTTTTAATATTGATAGAATTTCCTCTTACCAGAAGCATACCCCCGTTTCCCCTCTGCTTTTCATTGGGGCCATTTTGCATTTCCTGCCATGCCTCCTGGTTTTGTAGCTAGCTATTACTGTGTGCTGATTTGGAGCCTGTCTCTAAAATTTCCCAAATGGGAATTTATAGTTTCCTGCTTGCACTCAGAGAATACACATTAAGAAATTTTAAGCAGTCCCAATAATCTGAATGTAAGCATAGAGTAAGTATTTTATCAGTACAGGTATTTTAGTTTGCAGAGGCAGTTTGCAGCTATGATTGGTTTAGTTGTTAAGTATAATAAAAATTTAAAAAAACATTATCTTCAGTTTGGGATACAGTATTTTAAAATATAACTCATAAAAATTGATGGAAGGGGAAGTAGGATAATGCGCATGTTTTGAGAGCAAAACATATCTAAATAATGTATTTCCCCATTTTCCTGTAAGGTATTAAAAGCAGCAGCACCTATATACAGTACCTAAATCCTATGTACTGTACAGTACTAGTATTTACAGTCTTTAGCCTACAGGCAAGAGATTCATAATAATTTACACTTGGAAAATATAAGAGGGACTAGTTTCAAATCTGTACACAGAAATAACTCCCCTGTGAGACTAGGAGGCATGGCAGGAAGTGCAAAATAGCTCTGTTGAAAAGCAGAGATTCAATTGGTATGCTGAGAGATAATTCTGTCAACATCAAAAGACCAAGAAATTTCAACACTACTAAATATAAAGAGCATTACTAGCCAACCTCTTACTGTGTTCAAAAGAGAACTTGATTAAAGACCTCCAAAGGGTATCCGATCAACTGGGCTGTGACTTGTACATCAGAATGCAAACGGTGGCATCTAACAGCCTGGTTGACCAAATCACTAACATGGAGGCCTGGTCAGAAACTGTGCTGCAGGTACAGTACATTGATTCCTACAACCAACAGCACACACCATTTAAAACAAGTAGGTTTGCAAGTTTAAAATGTGTTTATTTCAATCTACAGTATACGTAATATAGGTAACATTTCACTTTTTTATAATTATATATATATAAATATATATATAATTATAAAAAATAGTATAATCAATAATTATATATACTGTATATAAATATATATATATAATTATAAAAAATAGTGAAATGTTACCTATATTACGTATACTGTAGATTGAAATAAGCACATTTTAAACTCGCAACCCACCTAGCTGGACCAAATGTAGTAGAGTACTGCTCTCTAGCCTGTTGAGTGCAGGCAGTGTGTGTGAACTGCACATTACTTCATGTATATGCCAGTTTTTTGTAGTTTATTTTTTTAAATTTTGCTAGTATGTTTGCATTTCCTTAAAACTGGTTTCTTCTACAGAGCACAATGCCATGTTGATCTGTTAACTTTCAATCTGGAGATTACTATTTTATTACAGGTCTTTTCCTGTAAATTTGAGGTTAAAATCAAGTTGAATAAAAAGTCTATTACCATGGTACGGTATCACGTGCATTCCATATGTTGGGCAAATTTATATAATTGTGGTGTGGCCATTTAATTTTTCATTATCTTCCTCAGTATTCACTAGTTACCCTTTGAAATTGTGGACATCTTAAAGTATTGTTTTGGCCAAACTTGAGAGAATTTACTACACATTTTACACTTTTTGAAGTGTTTTCCTTCCACATTTATAACTACAGTATATAATTTTTTCATTATTCATGTCCAAGGTTTATAGTACTGTATGCTGATATCCTTAACTTTGCAACCAATATTTGCATGTCTACCTGTCTACCTTATTAATGGCTTTAGTGTAATGCTTAAGACTTCTTAATTTTCAAATATTTTGATCTACTATATATTAGTACATACAGTTAAGTATCAGTTAGCTGTAAGATGAGCATTGAACCACAGAAAATGTATATATAGTACGAGAGAGATCTGGCATTTTGTCCAGGCAAGTTTCCTTTCACAACTTAACCTGATACTAACATAAATTCTTCATATTTCTGAACTACTGTATACGATTCTCTTGGCTTTGACAGTACTGTACAGTATTTTTAGTATAAATTAAATTCAAATTACTGGTACTGTATAGTTTAATAGTAAATATTATTAAACACCAGTAACATTTTTACTTAGTCCAAGGTGTTAATTTTGCTAAACAAGTAAATTTCAATACAAATTTGAATATGGAATTACTTTTATCCGTCTATTTTGTCAATCAACATCATTGACGGAGATGTTGGTTGATAAAATGACACCAAAGGCATGTTTTCAGATGATGTACATGGAGTGAGTTCTAGGAGTTCTTGTATTTCCCAAGCCTAACCCTGGGCTAGGCTTGATTTTTAACTTGGTTCAACAGGCTGTTGGTTGTAGGACAGGACCACATATCCACTATAGCTTGGTTGGTCTGGCATTCTT